ATCTGGATGGCGTATGATGTTATATATGCAATGCGATGTAAATTCATGTCCAGGTTGGCAAGGGAAGTAACACTGGCAAAAGTAAGAAAATGTTGAAAAAGGAAGGAAAGTGTGGATGGAGTGCCGCATCTGAAAGCATCAGTATTTTGTGCACACAAGTCCAGTGGTGGATTCGGATCATCTAGATTACTAAGAATAGCTCTGCTATTCCCTGGTGAAACTGTGGAGAGGCGCAACTACCACCTGACAGGGGAGAGGAAGCCTAAGGGTGAAAGGGTGGACTATCTCGAGATGATCGGGCACCAACGAATCAAAGAGAGGAACACGCTACTTCCATCGGGCTAGTTTGAAAGGAAGCCGGATTTAGAGATGACCCAGATACATAGCCTGTGCGAACATGAAGCAGTCGGCGAATCGGGAACTGATGCAGGTGCGAGGGGTCGCTCTTTCTTCTGATGCAATAAACAATGTCACATGATTCGATGCCGCAGGGCCGCCAAAAGCGCTAAGTACTGGAGAAGCAAGACTTTCAGCAGCACCGCACGGGTAGCAAACGCAGTGATCAGCGGACTGCCTGTGCCCCTAAGCAAAGTGAGATGCAGTGATTCAGCCAAAACAGCTGCATTGGAGCCTGCAGACCCTCCTCGACTCAGCTCTGTGCTTGCCCAAGCCTGTATGTATGGCAAGGATATGCTATCCCTGCCTGCTGCGAAGTGGATCTGATATCTGAACCTATGGTGAGCCGGAGCAATTCGTCTGTCCACTCGTTGCGCAGCCTCTTCGAGCGCGCTTCCCGGATGGCAGGGAAGCCACGAGAATAAACAAAAACATGGGCATAAACTGCAAGGTAACTTCAGTAGTGGACCTGTTCACTGTGACATAAGCTTAGACTTGCTGTGGTCGACCCAGGCGAGGGAGCGCATGGGGCCACCAGACGAGAAAATTGGGGTCTATGTGAAGGCAAGCAATTGGAAAGTGCATTTCCCAACGCTCTTAATAACACTTGCGTCCTTAACAATAAAGGAGTGTAATCACTGTCTCAAGGAGAAGGGAGAGATGAGGCTTTAAAGCAGCGCAGAGGAGAGCCCGGAAACAACGAAGAAGCGCATGCACTCCGTGATCATCGTTCCACTAAGAGGGCGTTTTGAAGGCATCCGATCCATTCGACAACGAAGGAACGGCAGAAACTGACGCAACTGGACGGAAGTAGAACTGGAAAAGCTGTTGGATGTAGTGAATAACCAGCATATTCCAGAGGGCCGATCGCCCGCTGCATGAGCAATGGGCCGCAATGGACTCACCCCGAGAGCACCCCGCAGCTTTGTTGCAAGGTGCCAAGGAGATCCACATCTTGAAGAGGAATTCGACCGGCAGGCGAAAAGCTGTTAAGAAAAGCGGAAGCGCAGTCTTCAACTAGCTCTTTTGGGTACAATGCTGTCCTACCGAAGAAAAATGACGGAGCCTTGAGTATGCGCGCCGACTTCAAAGCCCTCAGCAAAGTCACGGTGAAAAAGTAATTTACGATATTCTGTATGGGTGAGCTACCTGACCCGTTGCTGCGTTTAGAAGCTTGTTCATGGAGGCGTTTCTCCATATACCAATACACCACGACGACAGAGACAAGTTTGCACTCCACACTTGTGCTCGAAAGGTAGAGTTCACCTGCATGCCTTTTGGGTCAGTGGATGCGCCCGTTAAACTGCAGCAACAGAACAATCCCTATTTTGGGGGGCCAATAAATGAGGGCTGAATGGTTATATACATGGATAATATGCTTGCGTCCAGGAAGAACGGATCAGGAGCATTTGGTGCAACTGCAGCGTGCACCGCAGTGGTTAGTGACAGCACAAAAGTCTTCGGCTTGCGTTCAAACAACCGAATGTTCCCGTGGGAGTAGACGCAGAACCGGCGAAGAAACAGGCCATTCGAAGGTGGCCGCCACCCCTCTGCAGTTCCACAGACGTTCAGAAGCTCCTCAGTATTGTACTACCGTTATTGCTTCCTCCCAAAATACCTCCCCTCTAATCTATTTGCTCGCGAATGACCAACGACCTGTTTGGGAAAGAGATCGAAGACACACTTGCCAAAAGCCTCATCAGACACATGACATCGTCTCCCGTACACGCGTCCCCTGGTTTCTACACACCCTTCCCGCTAAACGATGATGCAGTTGCCACAGAAGTTGCGGCGATACTCTCTCTCAGCAAGCCAATGACTCGAAAAATCACTAAATACTTGCATGCTTCCTGCATTGGTTCACGAGGCGGTGAGTGCAGCTATGTGAAAGTGCCTCGTGGGGAGCAAACACGTGTCAGCATGACGTGTAAGAGAGACATTTCAACGTTCAAACCGATTATTATTCCCTGGCTCACTTGACGAAGCGCTGTCAAGACTGCTGCAAGAGTTGTTTGGCTACTTTGCCGTCTTATGCAGTACGATTTCATTGTCAACTATCTCGAGGGTCTGACGAACGTGTCCGAGGATACAGCCTACCGAGACCCCTATCTGTCAGGCATTACGTTCTGCAGCTGAGCTTCTCTGCGACCATACCAGTTTGCTTCCCAAATTCTCTTCTTCTTCCTCTGTATATCCCCGGGAAACAACCGTTCTTGCTAAGCTTAACAACGGGAGACGGGTAGGCACTACAGCATAAACGGCAATACTTTTTGGTACCAGACGAGTCGTGGCGTCCGTCAACCGTATGGTACAGCCTTGTTTCACACAGAAGTTACGCGAACAATGCATGCGTTTGCTTTAGCAGGCCATTGTATGGCCAATTATTGTGCTTGCATGTTTGGTTGTCTTGCAGCACTAGTTACAGCAAGGTGCGTTGAGGCACATTCTAGGCTACCTCACCTCTCACCAGCAGTAGACCTTATTGTCGCTGTGTTCAGTTCGGCTGGAGACTGGACGGAAGCACAGCTGCCTTCTGGAACTTCCTACCTTACTTATTTTGCTTCAGCTAGAGCTCATCAAGGTCCTTGAACAACGTTGACGACTCTTGTTGCACAAACCGTTTCACAGCCTTTAATTTTTTTCAAAGGGTTTTTGCCTAATCACTGCTATGCTCCAGGCCGCCCAGCTGTGAAGGGTAGAGTTCGTCGCTAGTACCTACCCCGATGAAACATGCGATGCTACCAAGTGTAGCGACGGTACCAGGTCTTATCCAAGGAGCATGATGAGCTGCAGTAGAGCCGGAACATTCGTGACTGGAGTTTTCAAATTGCAGCTAACTTCATCTAGCGTCCCCAGGCGGACTGGGCTGGGCAAGCCAAGGGATTGGGGCTGGGAGAGGTGGCGGGGGGAGTTTGTGGCTTGAAACGAGTTGGCAGTGCGCCTTGGTGCGACTACTGCTGCGAAGCAAAGCCACGTGCAGTCACAGCTAAGGCCCCTTTGCTGCATATATTGACAATGAAGATGATTATTGGGCACTTTCTTGCATGTAATGTTCCCTTGTAGCACGAGTTACCCTTTGTAGGCAGCCTGCAAGCAAGTAGAACTGCCTGCACGAGCTTCCACCAGAACAAGCTACAATGGTACTAGGCCAGTAGTGCGTGAGCACTACAATGCGTGATCTCTATTCGTTTCGTTAGAGAATCCAGGCCGATTATTAGTTAGAACATTAGATATTATGTTCGCTGTTGCAGGTAATTCAGTCCGCGGCTCCGCGGCAATCATTTAGAGAGGATCTCAGGAGAGAACAGCAAGTGAGTAGGGCGCAGATGGTAACTAGCTACAGTAGCATGCTGGAACCGTAGAGTACTCTCGGGAGTACTCCAGGAAGTCCAACCGTTGACCAACCCAGCAGCCAGTACGTATAGCCTGCCTTTTGCTATGCGGTTTCTACAGAGATAACGTTGTTATATATATATCTTGAGAACCTTGATGTTGTTTCTTCTTTCAATAATTGTGTAAGTATTTACCTCCATATCATTATTTTCCTGTCTTATTGAACCCCCCGTATTACGAGAACTCTCTACGACTCCTGCTGTAAGGCAGCCCCAAATGCAGGCGTAGCTAACTAACACTTTGGTCTACCTGCTAAAATTGTAGGTGATGGTCAAGCACTCGCTTTGCTCTTAGTTTTCAGCGTGTCCGCACGTAGGAATACATATGCCACATTCCGGCAGATTGAGATGCACAGCCAGGACCGCGGGCACCAGTATTTCACCGAGTCAAGAGAAGAGAATACGCCGTTTCTTTACTCTGAATTTGTTAAACTTTAGACGCATACTGTGGAATTCTTTAACTGGAGGTTTTATTTGGTGCATATGATGCATTAGCCAGAGATGTCCGCGCGCTTCT